CAACTTCCGCTGCACTACTCCAAGCCTCAAGTCTCTACAGCTGGACTTAGTCTCTGCAAAAGATCCTAAGGGCTTTTCTCAGCCCAACAGTCTACAAGCAGTATTCCAACCTGCATACTCCTGCACTTCCTACAAATCATTGATGTTGCGGTTACAAAGAAAAAGGAATTACCTACGCTAGGCAAATGCACTTCTCTTCCTGTAACTGAACAGTTGGGGCAGCGTGCATGGATGCAAGGATAGTGAACGGAGCTAGAACTGCAGCAGCTTATAGGAAGCTGTATCGGCTCGGCGGTGGCCTAAATCCTAATGACGTTATGGGGGAAGTCTATGAGGTGTTGAGTTGAGAGTGAGAGGAGGTGTAGTGAGGAGACAACAGACAGGGGAGTGAGAGGAGGCACAACGAGAGTGAGTGCCAGAGAGAGTGAGACTGAGGGAGGGGGGTTGTTGGAGGGACAGTGCTTGTGAGAGGGGGGAATAGGGACATGGAGTGATGTGAAGAGGCAGCAAGGATAAGCGAAAGGGTAAAGGCGCTGAAAGATTGGGAGGGAGAAGGGAAGAGGAAATGGGAGGGGGTGGAGGGGGGGGGGAGTAGAAGGAGGAAGGACAGCTGGTGTAGGGCAGAGGTATAGGGCAGAGGTGTAGGGCAGAGGTGTAGGGCAGAACCTAGAGAATGGCACAGCTGCAACCGTGGCTTGGTCCCCTGTCGTCATTCTCCTCATCCTCACAGCTTGACTCGCTGCACGCACAACACACGGAGCACCGCAGGGAGGCGTGATGGATAGCAGGCGAGAGGATGTGGAGCGCAGGAGACGGAGAGCATGACATGAATGGCATGGCATGAATGGCATGGCGTGAAGAGCAGAGATAGGAAAACCTCTCAGTTCCATGTAGCCATGCACTCGAGAGTGAACACACACACACTTGGCGCACACCTGCGCACACATGCGCACACACACACACATGCGCACACACACACACACACACATGCGCGCACACACACACACACATGCGCTCCCTCCTCCCTCACTCCTGGACGTGCAAACACAAGCAGACACACCCACACACAGCCCCCCCCCCAACACCCCCTCACACACACACACACACAAACGCACCAGTCCCCTCACCTGGGTTCGAACTCGCGCACATCAGCCAGCGTGAGACCTCTATCGTCAGGCCACTGCACCTTCTTCCCCAACCGCTCCCCATTCCACTCCACCACTCCCTCTTCCGCTTCCACGTCCACCCCCTCTTCCCCACCCTCTTCCGCCCCCTCCTCCCCAACCCCTTCCATAAACCCCTCTCCTCTCATCCCCTCCGCCCCCCCCAGTTCACCTTCCCCCCCTGGTAGCTCTGCTTTTCCTCCCTCCCGCCCACCCCCTTTCTCCTCCGCCTTTCCCCCATCCGCTCTTCCGCCGTCCCCTCTTCCTTCCGCCACAGCTTCCGCTTGGGACGGTTCGGAGTCTGCTCCGCAAGCCAGTCCCGCTGCATCCTCCGCTCCTCGCGCCGCATTCCCCGGCATCGTCACAGGGTCCGCCTCCCGCGCCTGGCCTTCTCCGCCGTGCGCGCCGCCGCCAGGAGCACGCTGCGCACCCCCGTCCCCGTCCGCAACCCCCGATTCCACCACCACTATCTCCTCCTCCCCCTTGCCTACCGTCGCGTCCCTCGCGCCGTGCCCATGCCCCTTCCCTTCCCCAATCGCCTTTCCCTCCCCCTCCCCCTCCCCCTTCCCCTTTCCCCCCGCAAATAGTACAATACTACAAACCATCCAAGCCGAAGTGTTAGAACGCAACGCCCTCCTAACAACGAACGGCCAAGAACTTCGACGACCTCGCGCACGGTGCTTCACGTGCCCCGAAGCAGATCTTCGTCATCAACCATTCCCATCACATCATAATCCAAGCGCGCCTGCATATGCAACGATGGAAAAAGTCTACAGCGACATCTTGAACATGCCTCGAGACGACACGGAAGCCGACTTCAACTACGTCATCACCTTCGTCGATGCAGCAACAAGATACACTTGGCATTACAACCTCAAGACGCGCGATCAAGCCTTCGACGCCTTCACAACATGGCTCCCCATAGCCGAACGGGAATCAGGAACCAAGCTAAAAAGTTTCCAGTCAGACGGCGCACTGGAATACCAGTCACAACGCTTCAGGACCTATCTGGCGGAAAGAGGAATCAGGCGCCTGGTGTCCCTACCATACGCTCACCAGCAGCAGGGGGTCGCAGAACGCATGAACCGGACCTTGCAGACGACGATGCGAAAGCTGCTCCTGGGAATGAAACTGCCCACCACACTGTGGCCAGACGCGATGACACATGCAGTCCACCTGCACAACCTGTTGTCCTCGTCATCGCTCCCCAACAACGCATCACCACACCTGCTGTGGACGGGAAAAAGGGGCAGCACAAAATTACTTCGAGTTTTCGGCTGCATGGTACAATACAGACCCCACACAGCTCGAGCAGGACGCTTCACTCAACGAGCTCGGTGGGGACTACACCTCGGCATCGCCAAACATTTTCACGCGTGGAAGATTCTCGACATACAAGACAAAAATACGGTGGCATCACGTGATGTTATCTTCTACGAGCGACTGACGCTGCAGCATTACCTGGACAACATTGCCAACTCAGACGACCCCACCGACGGCTTCGCGGGCCTTCGCTCCTTCGCTGACCATGCTGCCGAGGCTGACGCAGCAGAAGAAGACGTCCCTGGAGCCTCGGAGGTTGCCGGACAACTCCCCTACTGCTCCGTACCTGTTCCACTCGATGAAGATAATCCCCTCGATAGCAACAACCTCGACACCTTTTACCACTTCGCTGACCAAGGCTACGCTACACCACACCCCGTCGACTCGAATATTTCCGAACGCATCGGGCCAAACTTCTTACCCGATCCTGAAGACGGTGATGAAGCAGCTTATCCCGGGAATGAAAATTCCCCTCGACACACAGCCACGGGACTGCAGATCCTAGGACTATGGGTCTCCGTTCAGCACCCGCCGCCGCCTTCTCCGCGCGAGCCATCGACCCTGTCGCAGGCTCTGGGGGGGGAACATAAGGCGGAATGGAAGGAAGCAATGAAAAAAGAGTTAAAAGCCCTCCAAGACCGGAATACATGGAAGTTAGTACCAACAACCAACACCAACGGGAGGAACATTCTCTCGGGGAAATGGGTGTACCGCATTAAGACCAACGCGGACGGCTCCATCGAACGTTTTAAAGCGCGATGGGTCGTACGAGGCTTCGACCAACGATACGGAACCGACTACACAGAAACCTTCGCCCCAGTCTCCCGTCACACCTCCCTGCGCATCCTACTCGCCGTCGCGGCCACGAAGAAACTACCACTACGGCAAATTGACGTCGCAAACGCCTTCTTGTACGCACCTGTGGACGCCGAAATCTTCGTCGAACAACCCCACGGATTCATCGACGACCCTTCAAAAGTATGCCAGCTGGAAAAATCCCTTTACGGGATCAAGCAAGCCCCACGGCTCTGGCAGCAGCACCTTCACGGCCGGCTCGTAAAAATCGGATTCCTACAGTTACCACATGACCAAGGCATGTACCGACTGCAGAAGGGAAGAGATTACATTCTGCTCATAGTCTACGTCGACGACCTGCTCTACATCGGTTCTACCACCGACATCGTCACCTGGTTCGAAGGGGAGCTGAAAGGGGACCTGACGCTCACGGTGTCCGACTCAGTGACCCAGTACTTGGGACTAAATGTCGTCGAAGACAACTCGGCGTTCTACCTACACGCTGGAAAGTACGCAGGCACTATCGCGAAGAAATTCGGACTGACGCCGACTACGGTCCCGACTCCCTACCGCTACGGAAACAACAACAGCGCCTCCGCAAAACTCCCCGCGAAGCAAATCCAGGAGTATCAACAGAAGCTCGGTTGCCTACTATTCGCAGCAGTCACCTGCCGACCCGACCTGTCCTATAGTGCGAGTCAACTAGCGACGCATCTGAAGCAACCGGAACAGGAAGATCTCGAGGAACTCAACCGGGCACTACTCTACTTCGTCTCCACGCCGACGATCGGACTTACCTACAGCAAAGCGACAACACCGTCCGTACAACTACTCGGATACGTCGACGCCGACCACGCGGGAGACAGGGAAAATCGACGATCTAGGACGGGCTACATCTACCGACTAGAACCCATCGGAACTATCTCCTGGCAGTCGAGCAAGCAGGAGTTAATCGCACTATCCTCGGCTGAAGCAGAGTACATCGCCCTTTGTACTGCGACCAAGGAAGGACTCTACCTGCGAGAGTTACTCGAGGAAGCGAAGATCACGACCCTGCCCGCCTTCTCACTCTTCTGCGACAACCAATCTGCGATCAAAATCGCAAACAAGGACGGCTTCGCCAACCGAACCAAACACATCGCCCTGCGGTACTTCTTCGTCAAAGATGAAATCGCGAAAGGGAGACTTCAACTCAGTTACTGCCCGACGACAGAAATGGCCGCAGACTATTTGACGAAGAAATTGGCAAAAGCAAAATTCGACTACTGCATGTTGCTGACCGGACAAACAAACGTCATCGGACCTGAACAAGTCAGCACTCCAGAAACGAAGGGGAGTGTTGAAAGTACATCAAAAGACTTAAGCGTTTCTGAAGTGTAACACTACACTCGAGGAAGATTGCAAACGGTACGCGAGTCAACGGAGGTTACACGAGGGGGCGGACAAAGAACACGAAGGGTTTGGGACTCAAAGGGTCGCAACTGGAGGTTGCGACTGACCGTTACAACAGCACGGATGGTAACCGAAGCGACAATCGAGTCGCTGTACGACTCGATAAACCGCTACTGCAACTGTACTCTACAACTGTTCCTTATCTTCTATATATTGCTGTATGTTTGCCTTTTTTATTAATCACTTGTTCTCACATACTAGTACAAGGGTTCAACTGCCTCAACTTCCGCTGCACTACTCCAAGCCTCAAGTCTCTACAGCTGGACTTAGTCTCTGCAAAAGATCCTAAGGGCTTTTCTCAGCCCAACAGTCTACAAGCAGTATTCCAACCTGCATACTCCTGCACTTCCTACAAATCATTGATGTTGCGGTTACAAAGAAAAAGGAATTACCTACGCTAGGCAAATGCACTTCTCTTCCTGTAACTGAACAGTTGGGGCAGCGTGCATGGATGCAAGGATAGTGAACGGAGCTAGAACTGCAGCAGCTTATAGGAAGCTGTATCGGCTCGGCGGTGGCCTAAATCCTAATGACGTTATGGGGGAAGTCTATGAGGTGTTGAGTTGAGAGTGAGAGGAGGTGTAGTGAGGAGACAACAGACAGGGGAGTGAGAGGAGGCACAACGAGAGTGAGTGCCAGAGAGAGTGAGACTGAGGGAGGGGGGTTGTTGGAGGGACAGTGCTTGTGAGAGGGGGGAATAGGGACATGGAGTGATGTGAAGAGGCAGCAAGGATAAGCGAAAGGGTAAAGGCGCTGAAAGATTGGGAGGGAGAAGGGAAGAGGAAATGGGAGGGGGTGGAGGGGGGGGGAGTAGAAGGAGGAAGGACAGCTGGTGTAGGGCAGAGGTATAGGGCAGAGGTGTAGGGCAGAGGTGTAGGGCAGAACCTAGAGAATGGCACAGCTGCAACCGTGGCTTGGTCCCCTGTCGTCATTCTCCTCATCCTCACAGCTTGACTCGCTGCACGCACAACACACGGAGCACCGCAGGGAGGCGTGATGGATAGCAGGCGAGAGGATGTGGAGCGCAGGAGACGGAGAGCATGACATGAATGGCATGGCATGAATGGCATGGCGTGAAGAGCAGAGATAGGAAAACCTCTCAGTTCCATGTAGCCATGCACTCGAGAGTGAACACACACACACTTGGCGCACACCTGCGCACACATGCGCACACACACACACATGCGCACACACACACACACACACATGCGCGCACACACACACACACATGCGCTCCCTCCTCCCTCACTCCTGGACGTGCAAACACAAGCAGACACACCCACACACAGCCCCCCCCCCCAACACCCCCTCACACACACACACACACAAACGCACCAGTCCCCTCACCTGGGTTCGAACTCGCGCACATCAGCCAGCGTGAGACCTCTATCGTCAGGCCACTGCACCTTCTTCCCCAACCGCTCCCCATTCCACTCCACCACTCCCTCTTCCGCTTCCACGTCCACCCCCTCTTCCCCACCCTCTTCCGCCCCCTCCTCCCCAACCCCTTCCATAAACCCCTCTCCTCTCATCCCCTCCGCCCCCCCAGTTCACCTTCCCCCCCTGGTAGCTCTGCTTTTCCTCCCTCCCGCCCACCCCCTTTCTCCTCCGCCTTTCCCCCATCCGCTCTTCCGCCGTCCCCTCTTCCTTCCGCCACAGCTTCCGCTTGGGACGGTTCGGAGTCTGCTCCGCAAGCCAGTCCCGCTGCATCCTCCGCTCCTCGCGCCGCATTCCCCGGCATCGTCACAGGGTCCGCCTCCCGCGCCTGGCCTTCTCCGCCGTGCGCGCCGCCGCCAGGAGCACGCTGCGCACCCCCGTCCCCGTCCGCAACCCCCGATTCCACCACCACTATCTCCTCCTCCCCCTTGCCTACCGTCGCGTCCCTCGCGCCGTGCCCATGCCCCTTCCCTTCCCCAATCGCCTTTCCCTCCCCCTCCCCCTCCCCCTTCCCCTTCCCCTTCCCCGCCCCCTCCACCGAAGTGTGGCACGAAACGTTCGCTAGATAACCTCCCTGCGACTGTGCCTCTGCCGGCGACGGCTCCGCGACAACCAACGACTCCTGCTCGAGCTGTTTCCCTTGGCTTGGCGACAACAATCTGCCTGAATCGGCGGGTTGCGCGACCGCACCGATCGCGCAGGCGACAGCGGCTGTGTCGCCAGAAGTCGCATAGCCCGGTGGAACACCCAGCTGCGACAGGGTGGCACCAGGACTGCGACTGGACGAAGAGCTTGCCTGAGCTACAGCATCTCCGCCGCCGCGATCGCCGCGATCTTCTTCTACCGAGGCCCCCAGTAACGAGGGGGCCTCTGCTGGCGCATCCACCGTGGCGACGCCCGTTGCGAGCCGGCGCTTCGGTTAGGAGGCGGACGGCGGTCAGTACGGGTCTCTCGTGCATCTACCAGCGAGTTAACGCGTCAACATATCCTCCCCATGGTTAGAGTAACGGTACGCGCGCGACGGGCCGTGCGCGGCATGCAGGTGGCTTGCCACGTGGCGTCTCAACGCCGAGTCTTGCCCGACCTGCTCGACTTGCCAGCGGCAGGCCTGTTACCACTCGGGCCAATAAGCTCGCGCGTGTAACGAGATCGTCTGTACGACTTCTCTATTTAATCGGGCCAGCTTGCACCCACCCGGATCCCTCGTTCTGACGGAGCGCGGGCAATGCAAGGGCACTGGGCGGCTGCGAGACGAAACCCTTGCAAAGCAAAGCAGTCGACGCAGCCGACGCAGTCGACGCAACCGACGCAACCGACGCAGCCGACGCAGCGGAAGTAGTCACGAGTTAAGAACAATGTGGAGTCTGCTCTGGCTCTTCTTCTACAGGTGATTGGCAGGCGTCACGTTGAGTGGCACTACAGAGGGGGGAGGACGCTCGTTGCTGGAACGGTGACAATGACGAGTGTGGCTGTGCATGCGCGGAAATGCTGCGCATTTCCCTAAATGCGGCTGGAGCCCTAAATGCAACTCTAAATGCAGAGCCCTCGTAGACCAGCTGTCAGGCTAGTCCTCCGTGGCTGATCGCCGGCTTGTGTGGCCAAGAGGTGAACGACTAGTTTCAGTGTAGGGCTTTTCCTAACGCTGGAAATAACCTCTACGCCCAATGCTCCAACGAACTTGCACGCGCACGGCAGGGTCACCGAAGGCCCTGCGTTTCCACCGAAGCGTCTCGGCTCGTGGGAGAGAGAGAAGCCTGCAACATTAGGGGGAGAGGACTACGCTACTGCTGTACTGCGCAAGTGACCGCATGGCACGGGTGCCTCTTTTCTGCACCTAGCTTCGTGGGCTCTCATCGTGAGCGCTTCTGTTGGCTCTGGGAACGTTGGAGCCTCGGGCTTGGAGGAGCCTTGGGCTTGGAGCCTTGGGCTTGGAGGAGCCTTGGGCTTGGAGGAGCCTTGGGCTTGGAGGAGCCTTGGGCTTGGAGGAGCCTCGGGCATGGAGGAGCCTCGGGCTTGGAGGAGCCTCGGGTTTGGAGGAGCCTTGGGCTTGGAGGAGCCTTGGGCTTGGAGGAGTCTTGGGCTTGGAGGAGCCTTGGACTTGGAGCCCTTGGGCTTGGAGCCCTTGGGCTTGGAGGAGCCTTGGTGTTGGCTTTCGGAGCCTCCGGAGCGGGGTTGTTGGTTTAGGGCAGAGGGCGCGGAACCTTGGTTTGGCTTTGGCTTTGGCGGGCCAGATTGGGTGTGTTGAGGTCTGGTTGGTTTCGTTCGTGCGGGACAATGATCGCTCGCCTGTCGTTAATTGCGGCGAGATTTTGGACCCTGGATGTAACAGAGTTTCCTGGTTTTCTCAAGCTCTAACGGCCCTGAGGGAAATGGCGAAGTTCGGAGCAACGATGGGTACATAATCAATATTCCTCCCCCTTTCTTAGTGTCATGTGCGTCATGATCACTTAGTATAACGCTTCCACAAGTACCAAGTGCTCTAGGCATGGAGGTGGGACCAAACATTGTTGTAATAGCTCGGAACATACTATGCACATGGACACGGCTTGCTTGATACTACTGAAAGAATTTGAAAGGTGGTGCAGGAGACTAAGTATAGAATCTGCAAACACAAGCATATGAAGTAGAAAGTAATACTGGAAGTACCTCCAGCAACAGCCAGTATTAACAAGTTATAACACCAGAGTCAGTGTTACAGCCTTGCGATACTTCAAGACTTAACCAAGGGTCTTTGCTGGAATGGTAGACTAGTAAGACAGCGGAAGTCTTAGAACTTGTAAAGTGTTGACCAGAATTTACTGAAGAACTGTCAAACACATTTGTGTGTGATGTTGTAGACCATATAGGGTTGTGCCTTTAGAGAGTACAGCCCACTATGTTATAATGCCTTGTACTCTCACATTCTAGTCAGTATTTCAGTTTGATATGGTATCATGAGTAGGTTAGGTCCCCTTCGCCCACCAGCGCTTGAGCCGTAGGTCCTAGCCGTCTCGCCTACCCCGTCCCCTAGCGGCCCCGCGGCCCCGTCTCCTAGCGGTCACGCGGCCCCATCCCCTAGTGGCCCCTCGGCCCCGTCGACCAGCGGCCCCACGGCCTCATCCCCTAGCGGCCCCTCGGCCCCGTCGACGAGCGGGCTCGCGGCCCTGTCCCCTAGCGGACCCTCGGCCCCGTCAACCAGAGGCCCCGCCGCCCCATCCCCTAGCGGCCCCTTGGCCCCGTTAACCAGCGGCCACGCGGCCTCGTCCCTTTGCGGCCCCGCAGGCCCGTCCCCTAGCGGCCCCTCGGCCCGCCGACCAGCAGCCCTGCGGCCCTGTCCCCTAGTGGCCCCGTGGCCCCGTCCCCTAGCGGCCATTCGGCCCCGTCGACCAGCGGCCCCGCGGCCCCGTCCCCTAGCGGCCCCGCGACCGCGTCCTCTAGCGGCCCCACGGCCCCGTCGACCAGCGGCCCCGCGGCCCCGTCCCTTAGCGGCCACTCGGCTCCGTCGACCAGCGGCCCCGCGGCCCCGTCCCCTAGCGGCCCCTTGGCCCCGTCGACCACCGGCCCCGCGGCCCTGTCCCCTAGCAGCCCTGCGGACCCGTCCCCTAGCGGCCCCTCGGCTCCGTCGACCAGCGGCCCCGCGGCCCCTTGGCCCCGTCGACCTGCGGCCCCGCGGCCCCGTCCCCGTAGCCGGCCCCGTCCCGCCGCCGGCCCGTTCCACTAGCCGGCCCCGTCCCGTCGCCGACCCCGTCACGTAGCCGACCACGCCGAGCCGACTTCGCCAGGTAGCTGGCCCCGTCACCTAGCCGACCCCGTCGCCGCGTCGGCCTTGTCGCCCAACCGGCCTCGCCTTCCAGCCGGCCCGCACTGACCCCGCACCGCACTGCACCGCCCTGCACCGTACTGTACCTCGCTGTACCTCACTGTACCGCACCGCACAGCACTGTACTGCCCCGCCCTTCAGCCGCCGCACCGACCCTAATGGCGGACTCGGTGCTGCGCTTCGACGCGGAGGGCCAGCCGGTCGAGTTCGACACGTGGCTCGTCGACCTCCGTCATCACCTTACTGGTCAGTGGCCACACGGCCACTCCTTGGCCGTCCACCTCGACGGTACAATCCTTTGCCCTGACCCCCTACCCGCTGACCCCTTGTCTGTTGACCGTGAGTCCGTTGCCACTGCCGCCCTTGCCCGCTCAGTCTTGCTGTCGCATGACGAAGTCGCACAGCTCGCGATCAGTCATGCACTCCCCCTCTCTGAGCGCCCACGGTTTCGGTCAGACAGGACTACGCAGGAGTTCCTCGAGGCTGTTGTCGCACGCTACTCCACCCCACCCGCTGCCTCAGTCGATCGTCTGATCCTGCCCATACTCTTTCCCGATCTCGCGTCTTTCCCCACAGTCGCTGACCTGGCCGCCCACCTGCGCACGCTAGATGCGACTTGGTGCACTGCCTGCACTGAGTCCCAACTTCATGTCTTTCAGCCACCCATATTCTCTACCCTCTACCTGCTTGCCACCCGCCTTCCTGACCGCCGTGTTACTGCCCGCGATCACTTTCTTAGACTCCACCCTGCTGACCTCACCCTCACTGACTTTGTCGACACGCTGTCTGTTCGTCGTTCGCCGCTCACCAGCTTAACCTGTGGCCGCACCCCCAGCAACAGGAGGTTTCGCCGTGCTTCTTTGGACCGTGTCCCCTGGTGACGCGTCTGCGTTCCACGTCTGGGGCTGTCTTGCTCACGTTCGTGCCTCTGGCACGGACAAGCTCACTTCGCGCACCGTCCCCTGTGTCTTCCTCGGTTTCCCCCTCGACTCGTCTGACTGGCACTTCTACCACCCGCCGTCTCACCGTTTCTTTCACTCTCGCGACGTCACCTTTGACGAGTCTGTCTCCTTCTCCCACCGCTTTCCCCATCATGGTCCCCCGATTACTCCCCCCCTGTTCCTGGTTCCCCCTCCCCCGATCGCCCCTGCTCCTCCCCCTCCCCGCCCTGCTCCTCCCCCTCCCCGCCCTGCTCCGTCTAGTGTGTCACACGTCACCCTCCTCCCGTCGGTTGTCCCGGTCGAGGAGTCTGCTGACTCTAGTGGCCGTGCGACGCAGTCCTCGCTGCCCGCCCCTCCCCTGGTGTCTCCTCCTCCGTCGTCGCAGCTGCAGTCGCCGTAGCCGTCGTCGCAGCCGTAGCATCAGCAGTTCGTCAACCCTGGGGGTGCTGGCGTTGAGGAGGGTGCTCATCCTGGGGTTCCTTTCATGGCTTGTCCTGGCGGGCCTGGGGTGGTACCAGTGCTGCGGAGGTTCCTGGTTCTGGGGTTGCTGGAGTGGAGTGTTCCGGAGTTGGCCGTAGAGCAGCTGGCGGTCCCGGTGTTGCCGTCGTGCCGCCGCAGGAGCAGTCGCCGCCGGTGTCAGACCTTCGCCTGCTCGGCCTTCCATCCCCTGACAGCGCGTCTATGCCTCCTCAACCGTCTGCTCCCCTTCCTGTCTACGGCCCCGTGTTCCCTCCTCCGAACTCGTCTCCGGCTCGCCTTCCCCCGCGTTCTCCTCCTGTGTCTCATCCTCTGTCTCCTGACCCGACACCTTCGTCTCACGTCTGGTCCCCCCATCCCTCTCGTGCTTGTCATGTCTCTCCTGTTCCGCGCTCTCACCCTATGTTGCTCCGTTCCTACGCGTCTCATCCTCCCCTCCTGCCCTCGCCTCCTCCGTCCTCCCTTGTAGTCGTGCCTCCCCCACTATTTGACTACCTTCGTGCAGCTCGTCTTCTTATTCCTTGTATCCTTGCCTCTCTCGTTACCGACCCGTCTGTTCCTGTTTCGCGTCTTGACACTCTTGTCGCTGCGGTCACTGACTTCGCCTATACCCGCCGCCTTGACTATGCCACTAATATGGTCTCTGACCCTGGTCGTCCTCCATCCGTCGCGGGTGCTCCTGCCCTTGGCAGTGACGTCCTGGAGGACCGCCATTACGAGCTTGCTTTCCTGTCCGAGGCTGCTCCCCATCTCTATTCCATGCTGCAAGTCCTTGAGGGTGACCCAGACGCTTTCAACATCCCGACCCCTCGCACCTACACTGAGGCGACCTCGGTACCCTGGGCCTCTCAGTGGATAGCTGCCATGGAGCAGGAGATGGCATCTTGGAGATCCACCGGCACCTACGTCAACGCAGTTCCCCCACCAGGGGTGAACGTAGTCGATGGCCGCTGGCTCTTCAATGTGAAGCGCCCCCCTGGAGAGCCGCCTGTGTTCAAGCCGTGCTATGTGGCTAGAGGCTTCAGTCAGCGTGAGGGGGTGGAATTCTTTCAGACCTTCGCCCGACCCCGAAGATGACTACTCTTCGGGCGCTGCTACACGTAGCAGCACATCATGACAACGAGTTACACTCCCTCGACTTCTCCACTGCGTTTCTTCAGGGCAGCCTACACGAGCAGGTCTACCTGCGCCGAACTAAAGGGATTCACTGATATATTCCCTTCTGTGACGCAATGGGTACTGCAGCGCCCCGTCTACGGCTTGCAACAGTGCCCCATGAGTGGCACGACACACTGCGTGCTACCCTTGCTGACCTGCAGTTCTTTTCGTCCTCTGCACACCCCTCGCTCCTCGTTCGTGCTGACCAGACCCCGTTCTGCATCCTTGTTTACGTAGACGACATGGTCTTCGCCACTGCAGACAGGGACGCACTGGCCTCCGTGAAGGCAGAGCTGCTGAAGAGAAACACCTGCACTGACCTAGGAGAACTGCGCCACTACCTTGGCCTCTAGATCTCCACGGACAGAGCAGCGTGCACCATCACTCTCACACAGTCACA